GCGATTACATATTGACCGAAAGGTAGCCTTTGTCATCGAGGGCGCTGACTGCGTATGTGCGGATGCGGCAGATAGCGAAATCTTTGTAACAGGAATGGAGGATTCCACAGTTGGAGTATGGAAGCTGACAAGAAACCAAGGAGAGAAAACGAGTCTTACCTGGACCCATATCTTGCGAGGCCATACAGATAGGGTGACTTGTGTTGCTGCCTCCCGAGCTTGGAGCTTGGTGGTCAGTGGCAGCGACGATTCCCATGTCATTTACTGGGACTTGAACCGGGCTTCATACGTTCGTTCCATTCAACATGATACTCCTGTATCCCTGGTTGCCATACAAGATTCTTCTGTAGGTCGCTTCCTCATGGTGATTGAGCTAGTACTAAACTTGGTCTTTTTAGGGATTGGTCGCATCCTGCTCTAAAACTACATTGATGCTTCACACGATCAACGGTATTCTGATCGCCTCTCTTAATCTGTTTGCCCGAGACCCCATCTATTCTATCGCATTCCACGAGAGAGAATATTCAAAGATAGGGGTGCTTGCTACTGGATCAGTAGGAGCCATCACGTTATGGACATGGAACAAGGGTGCTAAGGAAAGTCCCAAACCTAACGACGAAGATGCCAAACCAGAGGGAGAAGAAAGGGAAGAAGAAAAAGCGGAAAAAGAAGAAACAGAAGGCAAGGAAGAGTTGCTCCTCGAGATAGAAGACCCAAATAACACTGAAAATGCTCCATGGAAATGGATCCAACTCCATGAGTATAAATTCCGAAAGGTGGACACTAGCGGGGACTTGCCCAACATCACGGCACTCAGATTTGTCTCGTGAGTCGCTTCAACTCCTATCATATACTTTGCTCACTTAATATGAACAGAGAATCTTTATACTCTGGTGATAGCTCCGGAAAAGTCTATGCTTGGGAATTCCCGGAATAGAACCTCGGCATTGCTAGCCATTCTCTCCACACTCATCTCTCCCTCTATATAGACTAAATCACTGTATCCAGTATTTTGTGTGTCTTCCTTGATCTGATTAGGTTGCATTGGGGATTATGTTGTCGGCCAATATTTCTCCCTCGCTTACTTTTTGTCGGCTGTACTTCGACCATACTACATAAGATATCTACTGTCTTTGATATCCGACTTAGATTGCTAATCCTGTGAGGGAGATTCCATCTAGAGAACATTCACTCCGGTGAGGTAACTGACACCCCCACCGAACCAAACTTAGATCCAGCCATATTCTCATTAGGACGCATAGCACAATCAACAGCCCGTGGTGGCTATCAGTTGAGAAGATCCAGTAATAGTGCTCCTATAATGGATTCAGGTCATAGGCGTGGACGAGGACGGGGACGCGGGCGCGCTCCTGATGGCGCTAGACCTGAAGGTCGGTCTCTTTGACGATGCATGCAGGCCAATTCCTACCAATAACGATATGATAAATAGGTGCTCAAGAGAGAGCAGATAGATCTGCTGGTACCAGTAGAGGAAGAGGTGCTGCAAGACGTAGTGGACATCGCGGAAAACAAGAGGGGCAACAGCCTCGGAGTCGCCCAACGCATTGTGAGTCTATTTGGTCAAGATTATCCATGAAACTTCTAACACTTGTGCAATAGTCTTGTCTCTGCCACTCGTATGTATAATTTCCTCTCTGAATGACTATCGTCATAATTAAATGACCCTGTTCATGGGGCACAGGGGCGCCACAATGCCTTACAAACTAGAGTACTCAGGTTCACAAGGGGTTTAATTGATGCCGACCCTCCTATTGAAGGATTGGATGAGACAATCATCATCGAACCTGCCCGACTACACATCACACTAGGAGTGATGTGCTTGGAGAGGTCCAATGACGCCAATTCGGCTGACCAAGAGGGGGCCAAAACTGTACAACAAGCTTTGGAGCTATTGACTAGTCTTCGGTCTGAAGTAGTCGAGATGGTGGGAGCCACCAAAACTTCGGAAACGACAGGAAGTGCGGTGATAAAGGCAGAGGGATTACCAGTCAACCTAGACACCATGGGAACCCTACAAAGAGACAAAAACGACACCGCCCATGTACTGTGGATCGGACCAGAGCAAAGCCGTGGGCCTCAGAGAACTACACTCGAACAAGTGGCTGGTAGGTATGGTCCAGACTTCAAGCTTCATGCTAATGGGCATCATTTTTAGCGCTCGTCAATAGCGCATTCAGGCGAGAAGGTTTCATTACCGAAACTCGGCCTCTGAAAGTACGCTTTACTACCTCCAGCACATTCAGTTCCTGATTACATATACTCCATAGTTACACTGTACACTCATCAAAACATCTCAAAGAAGAGTCCTGAGATCGGGTGGGCGTGACAACAACCGGACAAGGCCAGCTGAACGATACGGTTTCTCGGAACGTGGTATCTTTGAATCACAAGCGTACAAGGCATTAGATTTCGCTACCCAAAAGTCACCCGCTCCAAGTAACCGAGCACCAACGTCGCAGCGGCCCAATTTTGGCACATGGATTGTGGATGAAATTCAATTGTGTACTATGGGTTCTGTAGATCCCGATACTGGTGCATATGCTTCAGTTGGTGGCATCAAGATTATTTGTGAGTTAGATTCGAACCTGTCCTATCCATGGAATACACAAGTATTCTAACTTTGTACTTTACAGGATCTGTTTTTCAAGATATGCTTCATCCAACGACGACCTCGAATGCGACCTTAATAATTTACTCTATGAACGTGAAGCTTGGCGGTGTGGCGTGTTGGTTTAGTTTCTCTCCATTTCAATGCACGCCACGGATCGACGAGCCCGGCGCAGCAGCGTTTATGCCAGACTTTGACTCGTATCCCAGAACTGAGTCAACATCCATAAGATCTTTGTATATGAGACTAATGACTCAAATATCAACGCGATGCTTTGTTTATGATCTAAGTTTGAACTTTATTCCCTTCCTGGAATAGAACTTCGACATTGCCCGCTATTGACAAACCACCCTCATCTACATTTTTCTTTTGTTCTATAGACTTAAAAGCATTGTATCAATGATTCAATGTCTATCCCCCCACATAGTTGAGTCATGAATGGGACCATGTCCGTCAATATTATCTTTCCGGTTACCCTTGTTCTCTGTACTTCGACAATGCTACATGAGACACCTATCAACTT